GACAGGGTGATGATAACAATAGCATCGCGTTGAATCTTTTGAAGGGCAAAGGCTGGACAGATCTGGCTTTGCGGGAGTTCTTAGCTATCTTGTTTGCTGCTCCGGTTAGGCAGGGAAGGGAGATGGATGGATAAGTCACGACTCCAGTGGGCTGGCATTCTGTGGGGGTGTTCGCTTGTGATCCAGTCATCTCCTAGGTGGGCTGAGCATCATCCTGCCCATCGCTTCTCTCCATGCCTTGAGCCTGCCCTGGGGCTGTGAAGCCCACGGGCTTGGCTTATTTGATTTTTGCCACCGAGGCAGGCAAGGTGGCGACGGGCATCTTTGCAGGCGCTGGGCCGGGCAGTGGTGCCTTGGGCTAAAAATGCACTTCGCGTTGAATCTTTTGAAGGGCAAAGGCTGGACAGATCTGGCTTTGCAGGAGTTCTTAGCTATCTCGTTTGCTGCTCAGGTCAGGCAGGGAAGGGAGATGGATGGATAAGACGACTCCAGTGGGCTGGCGTTCTGTGGGGGTGTTCGCTTGTGATCCAGTCATCTCCTAGGTGGGCTGAGCATCATCCTGCCCATCACATCTCTCCATGCCTTGAGCCTGCCTTGGGGCTGTGAAGCCCACGGGCTTGGCTGACTTGCTTTTTTGCCACTGAGGCAGGCAAGGTGGCGACGGGCTTCTTTGCAGGCGCTGGGCCAGGCAGTGGTGCCTTGGGCTAAAAATGCACCCGGTGCCAGAACAGAGGGGCACACAGCCCAGGCAATTGTTTATGCCCCATTTCCAGGCATGCACGGCATCTGCTTTGGACTTTAGATGATTTCCAATCCAACTCTGCTGGTGGGTTATGTTTGGCTGATTTAATTGTGGGCCTTTATTTTGTTTTAGGTGGAAGAGAGATGGCTGGCGGGAGGGAGCCGGCTTCTTAAAATAAAGGATGAGGTTTTGCAGGTGTGGGCAGGAGGGAAAGACAAAGGTTAGGATAGTCTTTCTCAAATCCTTGATAACTAAAAGGCACAGTGTGCTTCGAATCTCTATTGTAATCATACTTTTCTCTTCTGCACTGCCCCATCACTTCCGACATAGCAAACCTAAATAAGTAGGTGAAGTATGTTTTCAAGGTATGCGAGACATTCAAGGATTGGCTTACCATTGCTATTCCCTCCAATCAGCTTTTAAGTACAGTGGTTAGCCCCCATATCCACGGGATCAGTATCCGCTGATTCACTTATCCACAGCCTGAAAATAGTAAAAGAAAAATCCTAAAAACATATATTTCTAAAGGTGACGTTGCCAAACCTGGCCACCCAGAGACCAAACTATGTACAGTGGTGCCTCGCAAAGCGAGGTTAATCCGTTCCAGATTAACCTTCGCTATAGCGAAACATCGCTGAACGGGGCAGAAAAAGCCATTGGAACGCATTAAACATTGTTTAATGCGTTCCAAAAGGCTCCTTTACTCACCGTTCAGCGATGTTTCTCTATGGCTGGCAGCCATTTTCGCGCCCTCCCCTGCATGTGGCCATTTTTGGGCTTCCGGCAGCCATTTTGGAGCCACCGAACAGCTGAGCCGCGGGTTGCAAAGCGAAGGTCGGTAAGCGAAACGCTTACCGACCTTCGCTATGTGATTTTCCCCCATAGAAGCCATCGGTATGCGATCGCATTTGCGATCGCAAAACCGGCCTCGTTATGCGGATTCGTCGTTCTACGGTGCACTCGTTATGCGAGGCACCACTGTATAGTGTTCACTATCAAAATAGTGTTTGCCGTAATCCATGTTTTTCAACATCCATGGGCAGCTTAGAATCATGGATTTGGGCATTGTGTGCTGTACAGATGGAAATCCCAGCTGATGAAAGAAAATATGAAATACTTCCACAGAAGAATGATGGCTCATAGAGCTTGATAATCCTGGGCAGATTTCAAGATTCCTCTTTTTTTTTCCTTCTTCCTTAGTAATGAATGTAAAATAAAGCCAAAAAACCAAAGTCCCAGCAGGACAGATCAGGTGTTCATTGTATTTGGTCCAGAGCATTCCACTGCCGTCACAAATCAATCAAGCGTATATATCAAAGGCAAATATGTATGTTTTATGTCCTCTACAATCACCAGAGCGACTCACTGACATTCACTTACAAAAACATGAAAGGCAGCAAAGACAGAACCTGGTGTTGTGTATTTCCTCCCAAAGAAACAAGTCTTTGCCAAAACAGTACAAAGTGAGAAGTCAAGCAATAAAGAAAAATTCTGAGAAATGAGCTGTGATTCTCGGCAGCTGACACCGGGAGTATCAACCTTACTTTCCCACTGCAGTTAAAAAGCCATTTTTTTTCCTGCATTGTGAGAATGGACCTGAAATCAGTGGAGACCCAATGAAAAGGGGCTCTTGCTTTCTCTCTGTTGCGTTTTATGTGCTCTACGTTCCTCTCGGTCTGTGTCCTTCCCGCGGTTTCACTGCCTCTGAGAAACCTGGCTGCCCCTCTTTCCTCTCTCTTTCCTCACTTTTCTTCTTCGGTGCCTCCCCAGGCCTCCCCAGTTCTCTTCTCCACTGGGTGTTCCTCAAAGGGGGCCACGTCCCACGGTCAGCTGGTCCAACAGCACCCTCACTCCGGCTTCCCCAGGCACCAGCGCCGGTGCTTAAGCCACCACCAGTGCCTCCCGGTGGGCGTGGGATAACTGCATTACTGTGAATGCGCCGTCATGCACGCCTTTTGTGCTTTGGCACCGGCCA